GCTGCTGGGATCTCTGGTTGGGGGGGAAGAGCACTGCATATATGCCCAGACCCTGGTGGGGAAGAACTCGCCTCTGCCAGGGCTGACCCTGCTCTGTGTGTGTGTCTCAGGCCATCTCTGCCTTCGTCTCACTCATCATCACAGGCCGCTTCCTGGTGGCAGCGGTGCTGCTGCTGCTGGTGGAGGTGAGCAACATCTTCCTCACCGTCCGCATGCTGCTGAAGATGAGCAACGTGCCTTCCCCGGCGCTCTACGAGGCCAACAAGTACATCAACCTGGTGATGTACTTCGCCTTCCGCCTGGCACCCCAGGCTTACCTCACCTGGTACTTCCTCCGCTACGTGGAGGTGCAGGGCCAGGGTGCCTTCCTCACTGCCAACCTCCTGCTGCTCGATGCCATGATCCTCATGTACTTCTCCCGCCTCCTCCGCTCCGATTTTTTCCCCTCCCTGCGCAAGGGCTCTGCGGGGAGAGATGTGGACGGTGAGAAGTTTCTGATAGACTGAGACATGTGCACCGAGGGGGAACCTGGGCTCCAGCTCCTGGAGGTTTTTGGCCTCTCCAAACCTGCTCTGATGTGCCTTAGGGCTCGCTCCCAGGCCCTGCCTTCACCTGCTCTGCTGCCTAAAAGCACTTCCCTGCTGGACCAGCCCGACAGCTTCGCCAAGCCACGGGGATGCTGCCAAAGCCAGGGGCACGGCCAATGGAGAAGCAGCCCAAGCCAGTTTCCACATGGGCAGCTGGAGGGCCAGAGGTGGCTGCACTTGACAGCTGATGGCCTGGGAGGGTTGCGAGGGAAGGGACGAGTCCCTCCCATGGTGATGTTGGGTGTTATGTGCATTAAAATCAGTCTGTTAACTGCTGCTGCAGCACACCTGGGCTGGCTCTTTTGTGGGGCAGAGCAGGCCAGGGACTCCCCTGGGTCAGGGAGAGGCTGGGGGGACAGGGCTGTGGGAAAGGATGTGCCCCATTCCCAGCAGAGGGCTGGCAGTCCTCAGGGGCAAAGACAGCACATTTCTGCAGTCCTCTTTGTTCTAGGGACCCTCCAGGGATGAACTCCAGCCCCCGTGGGTCCTACCAGCCCAGCTGAGCCTTAAACAGAAAGACCCCATCCCTCTCATGGATGGGTTCCCCTCCTCTTCCTTACTCCTGTGCTCTTCCAGAGACCCAGGGCTGTGCAGGGAAGAGCTGAAGGGAGCCAGGAGAGGTACCAAGCCTTGTGGCAGCAAGGAGCCTGTCTGGGCTGCGTGACTCACTCGGCAGCCACGTGAAGTGGAGCTGGCATGGAAAAGCCGTCTGAGGCCATGGGCTCTTCCTGGAAGACTGCTGCATGCTCGCATCCCCCCAGAGCAATCCTCACCAGCACAGCGCAGCTGCAGCCCCGTGAGTGTGCTGAGCCCTCTCCTGCAGCCACAGGACCAGGATGGCTCCAGCAGCTCCCCCAGAACAGTGGGAGGAGAGGAGAGGGTTCAGCTCCCCAGGGGAGTGGGGCCAGAACTGGCCCAGCCAGTCCTGTGGAGCACCGGAGCATCAGGGAGGCAAATCTTGGTGACGAGACAGCTCCAGGATCGCACTGGATCGGAATTAGCAGCGGGGCTTAGAGGGACTCCTGTCCAGCCCCTGCTCCAGGCAGGATCTGTCCCACCCACCCCCTCACCAGCCCAGCTGAGGCAGAGACAGGCACTGTGGCTGAAATAAGCTGGTGAAGGGGAAGCAGTGGGGGAATCACCCTTCCCTCCAGAGAGCTGGGAGACACCTCACAGGATCGGGATCCTGCTGGGACTCCCTGGTGTGTACAGGTACTGTGGCAGGGGGTGTGTGCCAGGAACAGCTTGGCAGCTGGGACAGGGACATGATACCCAGGACACTGTGTGGGCAGGGACCTCTGCCAGCTCTAAATCCACTGCCTCGTTCGTTCCCTCCTTCCTCAAAGCAGGAGCTCAGCAGCCCTGGCAGGGCACAGCCTTACGCTCAGCAGCATATCCTGACAGCTATGTGTCTTCCAGCTGCAGCTTAAGCCCCGTGGCCTCTCTGCACCAATTCCATCTGCAAATACCCTGCACAGTCAAGCCCAGATCTTAGTTTCCCCTCACCCTGATTGCTGCCCCTTTCCCCTTGACTCTCCACATGGAGCAGACACAGCTCTGCCCCACCAGTTTACAGGCTCAGATGACCAGCCCACGCTTCCACTGTCCTTAAAGCAGTGTGGAAGGACCAGGCATGAAAGTTTCCCAAAGCAGGGAAACTGATCCCCACTGTTTCCTGGCTTCCAGCAGGAGCATCTCCCAGCACTGCAGTGCTGTCCAGGCTGGGGCAGCTGTGGATCAGGCCAGCTGCCAGCCAGGAGCAAAAGGCAAGTGAAGTGCCAGGGCAGCAGCCACTGGGCTGAGTTGAGGCAAGGTCAGGGCTGAATGCAAGTCATGCTGATGTGGAACCCCTCCCAGCCTCCTGCTGCTGCACATCCTGGCTCTCCATACCCACTCTCCACCCAGCAGTGACACCAAGCGTTGCTACAAGAGGGGCACCTCTCCCCTTGCATCGTTCTTGGGGTGACTACACACAAAGAGGTGGCCTGGGGCTCAGGGGACCCTGCTGCTGCCCATCCACAGCATCCACTCCCCTTTTCCATCCACCACCATCCCTCACACTGCAAACCACCGCCCCGGGAATCCGACACTCTCCACAAGAGGCCCGAAGGAACTCTGTGTCCCACTGCTCAAGAGCTCAATTAGCCCCAATCAATATTTGGTCACAGCTTTCATCATCTTTCTCAGTCAAGTCTAACTATGTACTTAAGCTCAAGTACCCCTAAAGGCTTTTCTGTAACTCCCCTGTTCCCTGCTCACCCACTGCTCCACGTCCTCCTGACTCCAAGCACTCTAAAAGCCGGTTCCACCTACAAACTTAAAGCCAAACACTGCAGAGGCAGCAACAGCAGCATTTGGAAACAGCCCAGAGGATGGTGAACCCTGTGAGGAACAGCAGCAGGGAAACTCACACACTGCAGCACATGGAGCAGGGATTGTGCCAGAAAAAAACACAAAGCCTCTGCTGCTGGATTAGCTGTGAGGGTTTCAAGTGAACCTGCAGCATAAGCAGAGAGCTGATACATTCGTAAAATGGTGTCAGAGGTCACTTGTGCCAGATCTGAGCCACTGACAGGTTTTTGCTGTGGTCACCACCTACCTCTCATGGTCTGCTCCACAAGGAAGCGACACAGGACACCAAAAGCACTGATTACAAACACATCCTAATTACACTGTGCAAGGAAATCCTGGAGAACACCAGAGGTCTTGGGGTAAATATAGAGATATTTGAGATTTAGGGGAGGTTTCAACTCATGTTCACCCACAGCAGAGGTGAGTGACCTTGGAGACCCCCTGAGCAGGACAGCGCTGCCCCCTGCAAGATCCTCTCATGGAGCAGTTGGCTCTGCCCACCCACTGCCAGGAACAGAGGGAGGAACCCCCTTCACCAAAATGAAGCCCCAAAGTTTGCTGAGTGCTCTCTTTCACACTGGTTATGCTGTCACAAAACACAAGACCCCTCAGTGGTGTAAGAAGGTTTATTATCATGTCTGTACAGTCCTCGGCAGATGCAGTTTAGATGATTCCAATCTGGAAAGAAGCAAAGGATGTTAAAACAGATGTTATAGTGGCAAAAAGGCAGAGCCTCCACCTCAGACATTTTTGCCACAGCTGCATCTCCCCAGGATGCCTGTCCTCCAAGGACAACTTCTTCCTCCCAGACCTGCCCAAAAGCCTTACACATCTGCTTTGTATGTTTATTCCAGAGTGATCCTCGTACATTCTCCTACTCCAATTTCTACCACCACTGCCTCCTGCTACCTTAAGGACTGAACTGACACGGAATGTGGCTGTGCTCCTGAACACTCAGATCCTGGCTACAGGGACACAGAAGTGCCACCACGCTTGAAGCACAAGTACCTCACATGCACAGCAGGAAGAACAATCAGTGAGGCAGACTTAAGACAACCGACAGGGAGCAGTAAAGCTTCAAAGATGTCTCACCTTGTTGGCTACATCCAGTGCATCATAATCCGGAGCCAGTCGGACATAAGCCTTCTTCTCTCCGTCAGGCCTAGAGGGAACACGAGGCATCAGAACAGAGCCAACTCCTCTCACCTGCTCTGCTTTCCCACTGTTCCCATGTGCATCAGTGGTTCCTTTGGAAACATCACTGTTACTCAGTGGAATTGAAGTTTACATCATTTGCACAGGACTCCCTGGGTGTTGGAAGAGACCCCTGACAAAGCTGACCCTCTGGTCTGCCAACACCTCCCACTTCCATCAAGCTGTGCTCCCTCACAACTTGCACGTCTCAAAACTTTTAACACTGAAATCACAGAATTATTTAGGTTGGAAAAGACCTCTGAGATCATCAAGTCTAACCTTAGATCCATCACCAACTTGTCAACTAGACCATGGCACTAAGTAATTTCTTAAACACCTCCAGGGATGGCAATTCCACCACCTCCCTGGGCAGCCCATTCCAATGTTTAAAAACCCTTTCCATGAAGAAATTCCTCCTGATGTCCAACCTGAACATCCTCTGGCAGAGATGGAGGCCATTTCCTCTTGTCCTGGAGAGGCCATTGCTACACAGCTTTGTCCCACTCCTCCTGAGAGTTCCCTCAGCTGCTGAAACTCATACACTCCCACTTTCAGCTGAAAAATGCTTCTTTTGAAGCACCTCACACCCACCAGTGACATGTTTTTATCCCCCTTCTCACCTAATCAACGTGTTGACCTTGGCCACATCAATATCATACAACTTCTTCACAGCCTGTTTGATCTGGTGCTTGTTTGCCTTGACATCGACAATGAAAACCAGAGTGTTGTTATCCTCGATCTTCTTCATGGCCGATTCTGTGGTCAGAGGGAACTTGATAATGGCGTAATGGTCCAACCTGCAGGAGAGACCCTGTGCTTAGCAGAGGGATGGCAGGTGCTTCTCTGCACTTTGGGGGCTTTGTCTGGGGTGCATCAGTCGCCAGAAAAGTTATAATCACAAACTCTCAGGCTTTGGTCGCTTGAAATCATCACCTGCACCCCAAACATCCCTCCAGTGTTCTGCCACCAACATGTGGCTGAGCACACTGACAAAGTGTGACCAGGTGAGAGGGAGGTCCCCACACCAGCCCACCCCCGGGGCTGCTCCCAAACCCCGCAACAGGGCAGAGCCCAACAACCCACACGTACTTGTTCCTCCGTGGGGCGCTCTTCCGGGGGTACTTGGGCTGCCTCCGCAGCCGCAGGGTCTTGGGCCTGCGGAAGGTGGGCGACGTGCGGATCTTCTTCTTCTTGTGGCTGTGGACCCCCTTGAGAACGGCCTTCTTGGCCTTCAGCGCCTTTGCCTTCGCCTCTGTCTTCGGAGGCACAGCTATGGAGACACCTCAGTGAGCCGGGCACGGCTTCCCCTCGTCAATGAGCAGGACCTCACCCAACCAAAATGAACCACAAAACGCCCAGTGGCGTTAGTATTTCCACCCTTCCCCCCAGAACAAACCAATTCCCGAGAGGAAAGAGGCATTTAGTCTTTCCCTCACCAAGATGGGGACACCCCCCTCAGAGAACCGGGCAGGCCTATCCCGCCACCTCCACGTGCCCGCACCCAGCACTGCGCCGCAACCCTGCCTCACTCTCCCCGCCCCGCTCAGCCCGCCTCCCTCCGTATACACCCGCACCCCGTGGGGTCCCTCACACCGTCCCGCACCCCCTCACACGCGGACCATTCGCCCCGCGCCCTCACCCTCCTTCTTCGCCTTGGGCGCCATCTTGGCCGGCAGGAAGCCGAAAGGGGTCTCCCGCGCAGTGCCGCACGGGCTTATAGTGCAAAATCTCGCGAGAGCAAGACTGACTCCACCCACACACCATTGCACCAACTCTCGCGGTAAACTTCAAAGCATGTTGGGAGTAGTAGTACGTACGAATGATACATCTGCGCATGCGCTGCGCTGTGGGGCACCACGGGAGTTGTAGTCCGATACACCACCCGCCGTCGTGGCGGGGTGTATCGGGATGAACCCCGGGGTGGCGGGGGGTTACCGGTGTCCCACCGCGCGGGTGGCAACGCAATGGCCCAGCCCCGGAGGAACCGGCGTCCTGGTCCCTCCCACGAAGGGGGGCGTGGGAGGGGCCAGGACGCCGGTTCCTCCGGGGCTGGGCGTGCAGCGCCAGGCACCGCTATCGGATTTGGGAGGTTCGCGGTAACGGGGACGCCCCGCTTCATCCCCCCCGCCGTGGGGACACAGACGAGGCGGGGAGGGCTTGGTCTTGCGCTGGGATGCGGCGGTGGGACGGTGGTGGCTGTGCAGGGGCGACACGGGATGGGAGGGGACAGGGGACGCGGAGATGGGAATGGGGGGGGGGCACGGAGACAGCCAGGCTGCGGGAGGTGGGACACGGGGACAACGCTGAGCCTGGGATGGCACTGTGGGGATGTGAGAGTGGCTGGGACACGGGGATAGGTGCGGTGTGGGGTCAGTGGTACCCGGGTATGTAGAGGTGTAGGGATGGTGGGACGTGGGGACAGCTGTATGCCGGGATGTGGGATAGCCACAGCTCAGGGTGGGAGCACAGTGATACCCTGGGATGGCACACTTGGGATGGGGGGTTGGTTGGGAGACGGGGACAGCGGAGACACGCGGGACAGCTGTGCCCAGGGTGTGGGGACAACCACAGTTCCACCCAGCTCGAGGTGGCTGGGTCTGGGGGACAGCCATCCTTGGGGGTGCGGGGAGAGTCAGGACATGAGGATTACCACATCTTGGGAAAGTGGGAGACTATTGGGATAAGAGGACAGCCCTGCTTGGGGACACGGACAACGCTATTCTGGAATGCTGTGCACAGGGACAGCCGTGACACGGGGACGTCGCCACTCCCTTCTCTCTCTGTCCCCAGGCCTCACAGTGATCCTTGTCCCATCTCTGCTCCCCCCAGCCACCCACCCCGCCTCGGAGACCCCACGGGACGATGAACGTGCTGGCTCCGGTCCGCAGGGACCGGGTCATCGCCGACCTGCCCCCGGTGAGCGGAGGGGACACAACAGCCCGGGGGCGGCCTCGCCGAGCCCCGTGGTCACACCGGTGCCCCCCTTTGTCCCCCCACAGTGTTTTCGGAAGGAGGCCGCCCTGCAAACCCGCCCCGCCTTCCACCCCACAGTGGCCAGCGCCTGCCAGGAGCAGCGGACGGGCACTGTGGGGTGAGTCCGGGATGGTTTGGGGTCCTCCCACCGCGGGGCTGGGAGGGAGTGGGGACGAGGGACCCCACGGTCCTGCCCGCCACGGGTGGGGGTCCCCGGCGTGGGCGCCGCGTGGCTGCCGGCGCTGCCCGTGTGCCGAGCCCTGCGTCACGATCCTGGAATGCGGCGCGGGGGGAACACGGGGTGGGGGAACGCGGGAGTCCGGACTCGGCTGTGGGGGGAGAGCCGGGACGCAGGGAGCTGCAGACACGGGGTGGGGGGTGGGGGGCTGTGGGGTGATGCCTCCCCACCCCATGAGCCCCTCTGCCCCCAGTGACCAGTCAGGGGGACGCAGGGGGGGAGCCCCCCCCCGCCCTGCTGAGCCGTGCGTCCCCCCCTCGCTGCAGGTTCAAGATCTCCAAGATCATCGTGGTGGGTGACCTGTCGGTGGGGAAGACCTGCCTGATCAACCGGTAACAGGACCCCCGGAGAGGGGAGGGAGGAGGGGGGAAAGGGGAAGTGATCCCCCTCTCCCAAAGGGTGGCAGCGCCTTGGGCTGAGTCCAGTTCTGGCTGGACTCTGGTGCTGGGCATCCCCAGGATGGGGGGGCACTGAGGCCCCAGGGGTTGGAGTGGGGGGGCTGGGGGCTGCTGACCCACCCTCACTCCCACCCCAGCTTTTGCAAGGACACATTCGACAAGAACTACAAGGCGACCATCGGGGTGGATTTCGAGATGGAGCGGTTTGAGGTGCTGGGGGTGCCCTTCAGCCTTCAGCTGTGAGTAGGCACCGGCCCAGCCCCCTCCCCACACAACCCTTTGGGCCCCCCTCACCTCTCACACCCCCCCCCAGGTGGGACACGGCCGGCCAGGAGCGCTTCAAGTGCATCGCCTCCACTTACTACCGGGGAGCACAAGGTGAGGTGCCCACCCTGTCTGACCTCTCTGTCACACTGTCCCTGTCCCCATCTCATCCCTCCTTCCCACCCCAGCCATTGTGATCGTCTTCGATGTCAACGATGTGGCGTCCCTGGAGCACACACGGTAGGTGACACATGGCCAAAGGGCCCAGATGGGACTGGGAACAAGCATGAGGGGGCTCTGAGGCTGGATGGAGAGGGAAGACCTGGGCAGGGGCCACAGGACTGCTGGCAACACTGTGCTGTGGTGTGCCAGCAAGCTTGGCCACCGGCTGGTGACAGTGGCCCCCACAGGCAGTGGTTGGCTGACGCTCTGAAGGAAAACGACCCCTCCAACGTGATCCTCTTCTTGGTGGGCTCCAAGAAGGATCTGAGTGTGAGTGTGTCCCCCTCCCCGTGGGCAAACCGCACCCTGGCTCAGCAGGGCTGTCCCCGTCACCCGCTCCCCCTGGCTCTGTTGGCAGACACCGGCGCAGTACAGCCTGATGGAGAAGGACGCTCTCAAGGTGGCCCAGGAGATGCAGGCGGAGTACTGGGCTGTCTCCTCACTCACTGGTGGGTTCCAGGATGAGTGGGGGGAATGCAGATCCCGGCGTCCAGCCGGGTGAGGGGGCACTCAGGGGGTCTCATCCTGCGGGGCAGGGGAGAACGTGCGGGATTTCTTCTTCCGTGTGGCGGCCCTGACCTTCGAGAGCAGCGTGCTGGCCGAGCTGGAGCGCAGCCACACCCGCAGGATCGGCGACACCGTGCGTGAGTACCCCTGGCTGGCCCCGAGTGGGTGCCTCCCCTTATCCCCTACACACCCACCCACCCTCCTTTCTCTCCTGCAGGGATCAGCAGCAATGAGAGCGACCTGTACCTGTCGACACCCCGCAAAAAACCCAAGTGCTGCCAGTGAGGGGACACCCCCTGCGCCCGCCATGCTCACACCTATGGACCAAAGAGGGGCGACCCTGGCCGGCCCCGAGGAGCCGTCCCTGCCACTCCCCAGCCCCCCTGGCCCCTCGCCTGCCCAGGCATCCCTGGCCAGGGTGGGCAGGAGCACCCATGTGGCTCCTGTAGCTATGCAAACCCAGGTACTGCTCGCAGAAGGAGATGCCCTTTTGTCTTAATAAAACGTTTTTTATGCTTTTTAAGAAAAATGTGGGGCAGAGGGCCGGGGCTGCAGCCCCCAGACTCATGGGCAGGTGGGAGGATGGAGGCAGGGAGGATGGATGGCTGCCACCGAGGAGGAGTTCCATCTGTAGTGGATGTCTGGGGCATCCTGCCCTGCAGAGCCAGCAGCCCTGCACTCCTCGAGGGGCTGCAGAGGACACATGAGGTGCCAGCCCCCCGTCAGTCAGTCCCAACCAAACTGGTGGTGGTCGAAGCGGGGCTGCAGGTGGGGGGGGACACAGTGGGAGCACTTGTAGCGCTCCCGGATCCACCGCCCGCCCTCGCTGTCCTCGATGCAGATGGCAGCGACACCTGCGGGGACATGGAGGGGCTCAGCACCAGGGTGTGAGGGTGGTGGTCCCACTGCACCAAAAGGTGCACCCAATGGTGCCCTGGTGCCTGCAGTCCTACCTGCCACGACCCCCCCCAGCCGCTCCACCAGCCCAATGGCCGCTCGCATGGTGCCCCCAGTTTCAATCCACTGGTCCACGAGAAGGATGCGCAGACCTGGAGGGGGCAGAGGCTGTGGATAAGTGCCCAGTGCCCACGCTGGCAGCCCCCCCCAGAATGGGAGCACTCACCTGGCGAGATGGCATCAGTGCGGACTTCCATCACCTTCTCCCGGCCCGAGTAGTCGGTGTAGGGCTGTGCCACTGTCTGCACACAGAGGTGCCCGGCTTTGCGGATGGCCAGGAAGCCTTTCTGCAGCATGGCCGCGGTGGCAGCACCTGGAGCGGGCACGGCACCATCAGGCCCCACATACACAGGGCATGGGGGGGAACCCTGCGCTCACTCATGTCCCCACTCACCCAGGATGAAGCCCATGGCATCGATTCCAGCCACCATGTCGATGGGATCTCCCTGGAAGGGCTGCAGCAGGTCGGCCACACAGTCCTGCAAGCCCTGGGGGGAGATCGGAGCTGCTGGGTGCCCACAGCCCACCACGGGCACCTGCAGCCGTGGCGCTGGTGCTCGTGGGCAGGGCTGGGTGCCCCGGCAGCCCTGCAGAGGTGCAGCCCACCCCAGCACCCCCGCGGGGGCCACCTGCCCCGGGCACTGGGTACTTGCGGGTGGCAGTAGAGCCGGGAGGGGTCCAGCCAGGCGTAGTTGGGACCCTTGACGTTGGGGGCCATGAGCGCCAGGTACCAGCCCTTCTCCCGGGCAGCAGGGACGTGACACAGGTCCATGTGTGGGGACCGCGGGCACTGCGAGCACTGAGCACGTAATGGGGGTGAGACCCCCCACCTGCAGCCCCCACAGGGCTCCCCGTGGCATGGTGTCCCCCACCCTCCCCACCCACGCCCACACGTGGGCACCCTGAGGGCCCAGTGTGGCTTTTTCAGCTCCGTACCTGGGTGCTGGTGGCGAGGTTGAGCCGAATGGGACCGTCACAGACAGCGACAGCTGAGCAGGGGCAGCCCCTGCAGCACTGGGCCCCTGCCAGTGCCCTCGGCCAGCTGGGCCCTGGGCTGCTGCCAGGCGGGAGCCCTTCCCATGGGCTGGGGATGTGTCCCAGCCAGGCAGTGTTGTGGTGAGAAGCACCAGGGTTGGGTGTTTGCACCCCACAGGAGTGTCCCCAGCACTGGCCGCCTGTGCCAGCGGTGACAGGGCATGGTGTGGGTGGCACAGTGCTCGAGGTACCCCATGGGCGCAAGGGTCAGCGAGCCAGGGTGATGCTCAGGGTGCTGCCTCTGCACTCCCCTGCACTCCCGAGGGATCTCAGTCAGTGCAGGGACTTTCTGAGACCACCATTTTGGGGTGTCCAGGCACTGTCCTCCCTGGCTGAACGCTGGCTCCCACAGCATCCCAGCTTGCCAGGGCTGTGTCTGGATTGTCAATGGGCTCCAAGGCCCGGAGCTGGCCAAGAGGGACAGACCTGGCAGCGTGCTGGGAATGCCGGTGCCTTGTGGGCTGCCAGCCCGGCTGGGCATGAGGCACTGGGCTGTCCCGTGAAAGGAACAGTGGGATGGGATGCAGGGCCACAGGGAACATCTATGGGATGGGATGTGGGGATGCCATAAGCATTCATGGGATGGGATGTGGAGAGCATCTGCAGGATCAGGCATGGGGATGCGGAGAGCATATATGGGCTGGGATACAGGGCTGCAGGAAGCATCTGTGGAATGGGACTTAGGGATGCAGGGAGAGCATCATTCTCCTGTCGGGGCCACTCCGGGGCCGGGGGCTGTGCAGGGGCGGGTGCGTCACGGGGCGGGGGTTTGGGGACGGCTCGTTACCGGCCCCGGCACATCACCCCACCGGCTGCCACAGCAACGGGGCCGGTCCCACCGGGAGGGGTGACCCCTTCCCCGCGGGCTGCCGGCGCGGGACGTGCCGCGGCTCCGGGAGCGGCTCCAGCACCGCGGCTCTGCGGGACCCTCTGCACGGTGCCGGGCCGTGCCAAGCCGTGCCGGGCCGCCCCGCGTGGGCGGGCTGCGCGACTCTATAAGGCGGCCCCACGGCAGCGAGCGGCGCGGTGCCATGTGCGCCCCGGGGCTGCTCTGCCGCCTCCGCCTCCTCCTCCTCCTTCTCCTCCTCCCGCTGGCAGTCGCCCCCGGAGCGGCTCCGCCGGGACGGCCCCGCGCCCGCCGCGGGCTCACCTACCCCGGGACACTGTGGTGCGGCGCGGGCAGCAACGCGGATACCTACGAAGAGCTGGGTAAGGGCAGCGGGGTAGCTGGTACCTGTATCTTCCCAGCCCATCCCTACCACCCCATCCTATCCCATCCCTCCCAGCTCTTCCTATTCCACTCCCTTCCATCCACTCCCTTTCTTTCCTTCCCATCCCATCTTTTTCCCATCCCATCCCATCCCATCCCTCTAGTTCCATCCCATCTCTTCCCATTCCATTCCCATCCCAGTCCCAGTCCCCAGTGCAGCGCTGGGTAAGTCCCCACCAATCCTGATCCAGTTGCATCCCAGTGATGATATACTCCAGTCCCCACCCCCGTGCTAGTTCAATCCCTGTCTGCCCCAGTTCAGTCCCCAGCCAAGCACCAGTCCAGTCCCAGTTTCTCTCTGCCTAGTCCCTATCACAAGACTAATCCATCTTTGTGCTGGTCTAATCTTGATCCACTCTTTGTCTCCAGCCTCATCTGTGGTCTATCCCACTCCCATTCTGGTCCCCATCCTAGTGCTGGTGCACTCTCAGTTGCTATCCTGATCCCAGCCTAGACCGTCTCCTGGTCCTGGTCCAGTCCTGGTCCCCTTCCTGACCCCATCCTAGTCCTAGTCTCATCCCCACTGCGATGCTGGTGCAGCTCCAGTCCCCATCCCAGTGCTAGCCTTGTCCACACCCAAGCACCAGTCCAGTTGCAGTCCCTACCCACCCCACTACGATTCCAAGCCCAGCTCAGTCAAATCTAACCCCAATCCCAGTCCTAGCACAGCTCAGCCCCACTCCAGCCCTGATCCCAACCCCATCTAGCCCCAGCCCACGCACGCAGGCCCCTCAGCTCTGCCTGCACCTCCCTGCAGGGGAGCACCGGGACACAGACCGGTGCTGCCGGGACCATGACCACTGCCAGCACGTCATCCACCCCTTCACCGCGCGCTACGGGTACCGCAACCTGCGCTGGCACACCATCAGCCACTGCGACTGCGACCGCAGGCTGAAGGAGTGCCTGCGGAGGGTGAACGACACGGCCTCCCGGGCGGTGGGCCAGGCCTTCTTCAACGTCATCCAGGTGCCCTGCTTCGAGTTCACCTACAAGGAGGAGTGTGTGGAGCCCTACCTCTATGTCTGGTGAGTGGCTCCCACCACAGTCCCCCCGCCTGGCCCCACTGGAGGTCACCTCACCTGGTGCCTCCTCACTCTGCAGGTGCAAGGCGTACAACACGGTGGCCGTCGCGGTGCCCAGGGAGCCGGTGCTGTACGAGTTTGGTGGGGAGCTCATCGACCGGGCAGCGAGGCCCAGGGGGGTCCCTCTGAGCCCCCCTTGGAACAGCGTGGGTGGAGGAACCCTCCCTGAGGACCATCACACTGAGACAGCCCTCAAGTCAGCCAAGAAAGAGAGGAAGGGGAAGAAGAAAGACAAGAAAAAGAAAGGAAAAGGTCTGAAAAAGAAAGGCTCTTCTGAAAAGGGGGCGCAAAGCCGTCCTGCACCTGCTGCCCCCACTGATCCCTCTGTGGGCCACAATCCCCGGGCTCTGCTGCCATCCTGGGAGGAAGTGTCCAACACCATCCTGAGTGATGCCCCAGTGCAGAAGGGCTTAGGCAGGGAGCCAACGCCGGCCACTCCATCCCCGGTCCCTACTGCCAGCGGGAAGGGGAGGAGGAAAGAGAGGAACAGAAAGAAGAGGCTGAAAAGCAAAGCTGAGTCCAAGCCCACACGAGAGTCCTGAGCCCCCTTGTCCCGTGCGGGTATTGGCTGTGAAATAAAGTTACATCTGCTCGAGCAGATGGTGCTGCCTCAGCCCTGTCTGTGGGGGAAAGGATGGCACTGGGGGCGGCATCCAGGGGAAATCCGGGGGCTGATCCCACAGGAGGGAAACGCCCAGAGCTGGGTGGGTATTGAGGGGTTTGAGCTGTTCCTCACAGCTCCCACCATTGTCCTGAGCACTGGGGACATGAGTCATGCTCTGGTTGGGACACAGCTCCCAGACCCACACTGGCACAGGGCTGAGCCCCAATTTTAGCTACCCTGCTATAAAGCGTTAAATTCCAGCTCCCCAGGCATGTTTTTCTCTGGAATTTCTCTGAATTGCACCACCCCAGCTCTCTCATCCTCTTAACTTGCTGCCCTTCTAGTGCTCCCACACCAGCACCGACTTCTTTTCTGTAGCCCCCAGCAATGGCTGCTCTGGGAGGAACAGGGCCTTGGCCCTCCCTGAAGGCTCCTCAAACGCCTACAAAAGCTCCTTAGCCTGGGACAATAGAAGCTTTTCCAGCCCTAGGACAAAGGCAGATACTGCCTGGGAAGAGCTGGGGCAGGGAATGCTGACTGTGTCTCTGCCTCGGGGATGGGGATTGTGCC